TCAAAATTTTTACTAAATATGTATATATATATATATCCAAAAAATATATTAAATTTTATTAATTTTTAAAAATTTTATATACTTGACTATGTAATAATACCTTTTAATTTATCAATTTTAATTTTGATTTAATTATTTTTAGTAAAAAATTTCATAAATTTTACTTAAAAAATTTTCATCTTTCCTATATAGGCAGATAGATTCGTGCAAGTAACATATAACAACAAGGGAATATAGAATTTGTAAGACATTTTACTGTTGGCACCAACTTTAATTCCTTTGATTTTCTTTCCTCTTTTCCTTGGAGCATTAAAGTCACCTGAATCATGAGCATCAATTTGAGAGAGTCAAATTATAAGAAAGAACTTGTTAATTAGAGATGGAATTATATTTGTATATAACCTAGAATTAAAACTAAACAAAGAGGGTAAAAATTACAAGAGAAAGTACCATACCTAGTACAAGCAATGTCGAACACAAAATTTAATTCAAGTCTAAGATTCAAATTCTATCATCCATAATATTTTTCATAATTTTCATGCTGTGGTCTCGTTTATATTATAAAAAAGCTTTAACACCTGTTTAAAAGTAAATAAATATTAAAATTTATCTGAAAAATCATTTGCAAAAGAAATTAGATTCAAACAAAATTTGAATATATCCGACCTTATTAAAAAATTAGTTTATTATTTATGCATAAACTAAATAAAACATGAAATTTGAAAACTTCAATAAAGTGCCATAAAATGGTATAAAACTTGTAAAACTAAAGCAACCAAAAATGGTAAGCGAGGGATCAAAACAAGGCTAATAGCTAGGGAAACTAGGTAAAGAGAGACCCCATATAATTTTGGCTGGGTCAAGTCAGGGCCATGTCAATTCCAATCCCACCCACATGACGAAAAATGCTTGTTCAGGACGCAAAATATATCCATCCACCATAACTGGGTAAGTTTTCTTTTTTATTTTTTCAATTAATTTTCCCAATTCTCAGATTGGCTAATGATATTTTCTGTTTGGTTACTAGGATTATGATGTTTAACTGTTGTGGGAACTCAGTCTCTCCCCCTTTCTCTGACAAATCTCTTTACTCTCTCACCCAACCAAGTTTTCCAACCCATTCATCACTCTCTCTTCCTCTATATAAATATGCCCTTTAACCCTCAATACTCCTCAAACATCCTTTGATTTTCTCTCTTAGTTTTGGTTTGTTTTTTCTTTAATACATAGTGAAAGAGAAAAAGAAAGGGGACAACCTTATGGGGTTCAAATTTTGAATTTTTTTAATTTATTTTTCGGTCTTAGGGTTAGGGTTTTATTTTTATTTTTATTTTCTTTTGCATGGGCTGATATGATGATAGATGAAGGTGAAGATGAAGTTGTAAGGGTGAAGATGTAAGGGTACAACAGTCATTGTTTGCTGATGGAGCATCATCAAGATTCACAAAATTTTTTAGGGTTTAATTGATCTATAGTGGAGATCATGCTTTGCTTCACTATACCAATCATCCCTTTAAATTTTATATGGGAATCTTGATGATGCTGCAGCGGCAATAAAATGGCTACATTTTGTTCCAAATTTTAATCCTATTTTCCATCAACAAATTACAAGCAAGAGCTATCTTTACCAATGAAGGTGAACTGAACTGATCATTAATTATTTTCTCAAAAAAAAAGAAAAAAGGAAAAAAAGAAATACTGTTTTCTTTAGATGTTAATAACCTGATAAAAATGTTTAATATTTGATAATATTATTAGGGTTTTGGGTATGATATAATGCAATAATATTATTCATTGTTGTTGTATCTCCCTCTTATTGATTAATTAAAAAACTCCCTTTTAAAAAAAATATGTTATAGCAAGCAGTCTCACATGCAATCATTTTGTTACCATTGTGCATGAATTTTTTTTTTTCTTTCATTCTTTGATTATTGATGTGCTTCTTTAGTTCTTTAACTAGCTATGCATTTTTATGTTAAAATTCAGTTTCTTTTCCTTTTTTTTTTTCTTTCCTTTCAAATTGCTTTGAAATTATTGTAGATTTTTTATGAAGTTTTTAATTTACCCTTAAATTCTCTACCCTACTACTTACAATTTTCAAGTGCCAACTCTAATAACATGCAAATTGATTTAGTGGATAGTTTGCGAAACTATTCTAAATTCGATTCCCTAATTTATAGAAGATTTTTAATTTCTACAAGAAAACGTAGGTTTTTTTTTTTTTTTTGTATTGTCCAAGAGTGTTGAATAAGTTGTGTTTTATTGTACTTTGGATTTTTTTTATTGTCTGGACAAAAAAAATTATACAATATATGTCCCTGGTGATTTTTTTTTTTTGGAACTATATATTTTGTGGTCTTTTGCTTGCATTTGCAGGCAGCCATGGTGCTAAATACTCAAATGCCAAAAGCCATGAACTTTGTCTGGTTATTAATAAATTTATTTTGGCTTAACCCAAAAAAAAAAAAAAATGCACACCAAATGGTTGAGCCATTTGGGTGCATTAAGTTTATATATTTCTTAGTTCATTGTATAACTTAATTAGTATCAAATAATGGTAAGAAAACTACTTTATACTAGCATTCAAAAAACTGTAGGTAAAATTTAAAATTTGATTGGTATAACTTGAAAATTCTATATCGACAATGAAAATATATATTTCGACGAATTTTTAGTCCACGAATTATACCCTATACCAACCTTGTGGTTTTTACTTAGATTTGGCTAAGGAAATGAAATTGCTAAGTGTATATAGGCAGGTGAGATTTATGTAAATAGAAAAAGAAAATAAAACTTTTAGATTTTGATTTAAAGGGTTAAATTGGATTTTGTAAAATACTTTGTGATAAATCTGATAATTAATTGTTGGAAACTACTAATTTATTAATGTTAGAGCAGATCTAATATAATATCTCCTTTGAGAATCCTCCTAGCTTATTCCTATCATTTTTATATGTCGTATTCAATCATTTTTGGGAGATTGATTTCTTGTTTCCTATACATCATGTCTCTTATCATCTTTAGAATATTTAGACATCACCTAGAGAAATTAAAATTATGCTTTGAATAAAAATATGTGTAGGAATGATAATGATTTGGATCGAATTGGATTCGGTTCGATTTTTTTTAATAATATTTAATATTATAAATTTTTAAAATTTTATCTGAATCCGAATCGATTCTTTTTTAAATTAATCCGATGCGAACCGAATTCTATTTGTTCGATTCGGTTCAACGGTTTTTAAATTTTTTTTATATATTATTTTAATAGGATTGTTAATATATTTAAATAAATTCATAAATAAAATAATTATTTTTATTGTATAAAAATTTTAAAAATATATAAAAATTAATAAAAATATATAGTTCACTTTGATTCAGTTTTTTTTTTTTTTTTATATTTCGATTTGAAATTTAATCTAAATTTAATATATATATTTAATATCTGATTTTAATCTAAACTGAATAACAAAATTATTCAAACTAAACCGAATACTATGATTTTAAATTAATTTTTTATTTCTCGAATTTTTTTCTTACCCTTACGGGAAATAATTCTCATGTTCCCAAATTTGTCAAAAAAAAAAAAACTGAATTAAGGGCTTTTTAATGGAAAAAAAATTAAAAAGGATTAATTAAAGTTCTAATTATTAGAAATAGTGGAGAAAAATGGAAGAAGATTGCTATACCTTTGCTTTCACTTTACTGCCTTTTTTTTTTTTTTTCAATTTCTTAACAGAAAATACAACATTTTAAATGAGAAATGTTTCTAAAAATTGTTAATTGAAGAAGCAAAAGTTATGATCCAAAAAGAAGAAACATACAATTTGAATCAAACATTGGCAATCTTCATTAAAACATGTAAGATAGAAGCAAAAGTTACTTATATTATCATATAAATATTTTTTATATAGAAGAATTTTGCGCGTGCATAATACATTATTAACAAAATTAATGATCCCATATGCAAATATACGCATTTTATTGATTTTGGATTCAAATAATTTATGATAAAAAATGAATTTGGTATAAAAAGAAGAGCAAATTGCATAAGAAATTTTTGATCTTTTATACAATATTTTAATTTCATTTACATTGTCTTAAATTTTAATTTTTGAATCTTGATTATTTAAAAATATTTTGACTTCATTTATTCCGTAATCTGTCATTAAAATTTTACATGATTTACCGTTTCAATGCCACGTGGACATCTGTTAATGTTCACGTGTCAAAAAAGTGGACATCTGCTAGGATTTGTGCCACGTGGCTTTTTTTTTGTTATTTATATCATTTGGTCTTGATGTTGCATAAATTTTATTAAAATGTAAGTTAATATTACGAGTGATTCATTAGTTATATATATTGAAATTTTAATATATTATATATTTTTTAAAATAATTAAAATAATTAAAATTTATAAATTTATTAATTAATATACTTAACAATTTTAAGAGTAAGTACCACTTCCATTTTAAATTGATAATAATTCAAGTAGAGTTATTGTCCTATAGGGCTAAAAAAGGTTTCAGTTTAAATTTTTATTTGAATTTTATTTTATCTTTAGTTGAATTCAAATATTAATTTTGTAAAATTTATTCAATATAAATTTTTTATTAAATTTTTTTTTTAGTCATAACTACAATAATTTTTATTTTTATTTTTAATCTCACCACAATTAATCTCAACGTCTATCCAAATAAAATTTAAATCAATACGAGATCCAAAAAAGGTTAGGAAAAAGGGAAGGGCAAAGCCAAATACTTTGCTTATCCCACATAATAGAAGGATTACATTGGTAATTAGACTAGCTAAAAAATTGGTATGATAATTAGCATATTCGTATTACGTAAAGTAATAATAATTCGTATATTTATATCATATAAACATTAAATATTATAATTTTTTCAGCACAAAAAACACTATATATTTTTATTTTTTGTAAAATCTATAAATAGTTTTTATTAAAATTTAAATCTAATAACCTTCATATATTTTTCTTTTTATTTTTCATGCTATATCATCATGTTGTATTTTAAGTTACCAAATTTACTAAAAACACATCAAACCGATCAAGTTTCATGCAAGCCATTTAAATGGTGATATTAGTCATTGTTAAAGTTGAAAAGGGTCAGTACCTCATTTCTGCTACTTAACTACCATGTTAAAGGTTTTCTTTCACCTTTATAATGTACAATATATCAAATATGTATGCCAAACTCCATCAAGATTGAAACCCTAAAGCGAAAACAGAACAATCCTTGATTACATGATTTCTAAACAAAAAATGCAATAAAAAAAATTGATCGATAACATAATTGATAAGATCAAAATAAATCATCATACAAATTGTTAGCTTATCATATAATCATCGGCCATTAAGTGATAAAAGCTCTTCTAGAAATAAATTAATGGATTAGACCTCTCATTTTGGTCCATGGACATGTATATGTGGATATATATGTTAGATACATTGATGAACAGGCCTCCAAAAATAGTTATACCATGTAGGAAGCATCTATTCCACTGGTTTCTTGCCACCCGGATCCTGCTCGGAATTTACAAACAGGGCATGTCCCTTGTTGCCGTAACCATGGGTCAATGCAACTAGCATGAAACTACAGTAATCAATCATAAACTTGTATAAGATTAGAACGTCAAGATTTTCCTCTTTCATGTTTGAACTGCATTAACTTTAGTTTAGAGAGCAGAAAAAGAGGGTTTAACCAATGCAGATGAGCATGTTGCCGTGCCATATTAACTAGAAATATTTGTTTCTTTCATGATTTAAAGAAAGAGGGAAACAAAACCTGATGCAAACAGGGTAAACTGCGGATAAGGTCTCCGACATTAACTTGCTCCAAGCAAACACTGCAGGTCAATTCATCTTCAGAGCCCTTCATGCTGCCAACTGTATTATTAAGATCCTGCTTCTTCTGCCAAAGAGAATATATTACCAAATTATACTTTTTACACTACCCATTCGAAACAAAGAAAACAAAGAAACCATAGCCAGATAAGCAACACAAAGATCCTAATCCCAGATGCAGAAAAGAGAAGCGGAGAAGAGTCTTAAAATACATGAGGTGGGTTTGAAGATGACGGTTGTTGCATTGAAGAGTCACTGCTGTAAGCAAAACCAACTTCTCATCAGATTGTTAGCTTATAGGTTAAAAAGAATTTCCACACCAAAGAAAGAAAGAGAAAAGCAAAATAAGAATGTCCTATCAACCCAAAGATTAAACAACTAAAAGTAAGTACGCCGCACAGCTTTCTAAAAATTGTCTTCAAATGATTCTAACCATTACAAAAATAACTTCACATTCTCATGATCAGCCAGTAATCCGATCGTCATTCAAAACTTTTAGCCCATAGATATGCTATAGCATTATTTATTGGCATGAGATGATCCTGAAAAACAGCTGGTGAATGTTATGCATAAAGAAGAGACCCAAGATGTGCCACATATGGGCAGTACGGGCACAGAAAGACAATCAAGGCTCTTGTAAAGTTTCTTCCATGCTTCATTTTAAGGCTTTGTTTAAATTCACTTGATCAATGAGACAGCTCAAGGAAAAATAATGCAGTTATTATGTATACCTCTTTTTATAAAAGCAGACAGGTGCATATCCAAAATCCATTTAAAGGAAAGCTTATGCTCTTGAATCATGTAAAAAAAACAAATGAAGAAAATTGATACTAACCTTTGAGGAGCAGAGACCTTATACTTGTGAACTGGCAGGGCATTTATCTCTTCCTCAGTCATTGAAGCAGTTGTGGGAACATTGTCAGCATCAAGCACTCTCAAAGTTTCATAATCTGGTGATAAACAACAATTTCTTGAGAACATTAAGATACACAAACTATGTGGGGGAACAAACAAACGAAAACTGTCCCACCTAAGGTTTCAAATTTACAACCCCAGTCACTTATGTATCAACCTAAGAAACTCATTATTAATCCTAAATTTAAACAACATACCAAGATCATCAAATTCTCGGTCAAGAAGAGCAAGCTGCAGTCTAAGGCCTTGTAGACGCCCTCTGGTTGCAAGTGCAATTGAAGGTGGCATATGCAACCGTAATTCAGTATGGCCCAAAAGGCCACTCACTGCTGCAGCATGGGCTTGTGCCTGAGCTTGAAGTTGTTGACAGGCAGCATACATTCTTAAGGTTGTGGCCATCAAAAACACTCCCAGTACCAGCCAAAGCTACATGCATAGATTAACATGAAAGCTCCTTAAAATATAAAGTTCAACATTTTGCCATTTAAATTTAACTAATTAGTGAAGGAAAATACCAGAAAATTAGGTGACATCTGGGGCGAATTCAATATCATGAAGAGCAAAAGCACTGTTGCAACAAACAAAAATATCAATAAAAATTAACAAAACAAATGAAATAAGCAGGAATCAAGACAAACACAAAGCTATATAAGTACCTGTAACAAGAAACATAAGAGAGTTGGAATTAACAGGACGTCCTGCATGGACTCGCTAACAAACAATTGACTTATATCAAAACATATTTACCGAAAAAAAAAATTAAAAACAACAATAAATGAACAAAACATAACTGTAATTCAAAAGCATATAAGCACCATTGGCATAGCAAACCTTTTATGTCCAACCTATTTAGCCCTCAAAAGCATTTAAGCAAGAGTTACCAATAATGAGTAACAGTAACTCGAACCCTTATTTGGTTTTCATCATTGATTACAACAATATAAGCCTAAGGCAATGGCATATCATATTCATGACAATAACAATAGAAAATCAAGTGTGTGAAATAATAGAAACATACTATGGCACGTCTCTCCGGAATAAAACCTGGAAATCCACTCTCTAAATCTGATCTCGTCCCTCGGAAAACGAAACTCATGGTTGTACTAATAAACAAAATTCACCAGCTCAATTAAACACCATTAATAATGAAAAAAGTGCCCAAATTTTCCACTCAACAGAATAAAATAATTAATTTTATTATATTGAGTCCTCAAAAAAACCTGCATAAATTAAAATTTTTAATCAGAAAAATCAAAGCAAACATATTACATTCTTATTTCTTATTCTTGCCAATATATTTTAATCAAAATGTAAATAAATCCTTTAAAAATCCCACTGAAAATCTATTTTAAATATAAATATTTTTAAAAAATCGAAATAATTATATTTAGAATTAATTTTAATAGATTTTGAGTTGTTACTCGAACAATAAATAAAAAAAAATGTCGATTTAATTCAAAATTTCCAACGAAAATTACCTAAAAACCCTAATCTACAATTATTTACATACATAATTGGCTCGAAACTCTCCCTGAAAATCTATTTTAAATATAAATATTTTTAAAAAATCGAAATAATTATATTTGGAATTAATTTTAATAGATTTTCAGTTGTTACTCGAACAATAAATAAAAAAATGTCGATTTAATTCAAAATTTCCAACGAAAATTATCTAAAAACCTTAATTTATAATTATTTACATACATATTTGGCTTGAATCAACAGGTCCACAATTAAGAGATCAAAGCTTCAAATAATCGGGAAAAATGGATAACATTTAAGATATGAAAGAGAAGGGTGACTCACGAAGATCGAAGGGAGAAACAAAGGCAGATCCGGTTCGTCTTGGAGAAATACAATGTCGATGTTGTTAAGTACAAGATTAAAGGATCTGAGTCCGCGAAGAGCGAGTTGACTCGGACGCGTCAGGCTTTCCTGCCTAACGCTTTCCTCGTAGAATTTTTTTGGCTTCTGGTCTTACTAAACCACATCAAAGACTCCTCCAAAACGATGTCGCTTCTTACAAGATCCATTAAACGGCAGCGTTTTATGTTTTCTTTTTTTTTTGGTATCTTTATTGGCAACTTTTTTTTTCTTTAGCTTTTTAAATTTGGACCAAACAGCCAAACAAGGCACTGTCAGAAAAGGATAATGTGACAGCCGAGGTAGGGGAATATAGTTTTGTATTTTTTATTTTAAGTTCAATGAGTTGTTAACATGTTATTTAATTCTTGGATTATATTATTTTTTTACTTTATAATATTTATAAAAAAAATTATGATTAGATATTTGTATTACTGTTTTTTTTATTTTAACTTCAATGAGTTGTTAACATGTTATTTAGTTATTGAATTATATTATTTTTTTTGCTATTTAATATTTATAAAAAAAATTGTGATTAGATATTTATATTTTGTTTTGGTCATATATTTTGTTTCACATGATGGTTCTGCTAATGATAAGTTGATGTTGAAAAACCAACTAATAATATCATAATATTTATGTTTTTATTAGTCAATATTTATCACATTAGCATTTTGATTAGCAGTATTAGTGGTGCAAGCTATTTGATAAAAATAAAATTTAAATATCTAATTGTGAAAATTTTTTGTAAGCTTAACACAATTTTTTCATGTAAACACCTTCAAAATATAATACCCAATAAATTTAAAATTTTAATTTTAATACTTATATATATTTTTTTGATTTCATATTAAGACCTCCTCTGTGAGAAAACTCTTTTTAAATTCCAAAGTCCAATTATTAATGGCTATACATGGATTGTTTGTCTTTGATTTTATTTGGGTTACTTTTGAAGAAAATATATGATTTATATCCAATCTACAATATATTATTTTTATATGAAAATTTCATAGTTTTATCTTAAAAAAAAACCTTACAAGTATGAGTTTAGATCTTTATATTTATAGCATATCATATTCTCATATTAAAAGTATGATATTTTCGTCAAGTTCAATATAAAAAATATATAAAATTATAAAATTAATATTATATTAAATATTGAGATTATAAAAATAATTTTTATTATATAGCGTTTAGTTCTTTCAAAATTTTAAAGTAATTCCTACCATAAAAACACATAGTTTTTGTTGATCGGTGACTGTATGGGGTTGAGATTGAGAGTAAAAAAAAGTGGAAGCCAAATGATGGAAAAAAAATAGAAAGCTAAGAGAGCATAATATATATAGTAAAGATATTTTGGTAAATATTATAGGGTGAGTTGGAGTATCTTAAAATCTGACTCGATCTTGATTCTAATTTTTTTAAAAAAATCTAATCTGACTTTTTTTTTTTATATTCAAAAATAAAAATCCATCATTAATGAATTAAATATGTGAAATCTATAAAGTATGAATTATTTTATTATCTCTATGTGAATTATATTACCGAGATCAAAGAGTTTGTTTATAAAGCTAGTGTTGATAAGTTGGTGTTGATGCTGCTAATGGATTGAGCTTCATTTTATAGAAATAAAATAAATGAAAATTTATCAATTTTAAATATGATATGTTAATATAATACAAAAAAAAAATTAGATTTAAAATTTTAATAAAAATTGTTTACAGCTAATTTAAACATGAATCAGTGTGTTCATGATAATTTTTTATATTTTGCATGCATTTAATATAACATGAACATGATATAAATATAAAAAATACTAGGTGTGGTGTAAATAAATGGATTTTGGAATAGCAAAATAAAAAAATTATCTCCATTTTAATATTTTGTTTCCTTTTTATGAAACACATTGCGAGGGCAATGATCTTTAATTTATAATAATTTATGAATAGATTAATGGTATTAATTATATGATTAAATCATGTTTTAAGAAAGCAAAGAGACAGATCACGTGACCCTCATAACAAATCATTATATAAACACCGAACTGCTTCATATGTCTGCCAATTTAGTTTCTTTTATCATTTATTTTTTATCCAAAACATTAATAAAATATCATTTTACAATGTATTAAAATTATCAAATTAATTATCTATTATTGTATTTAATACGAAAATATTTTTATAAATTAGAAATCTGAATACCACTTTGCAGGTGGAAAAAAAAAAGTGAAAAAGGTTATGGAAGAGAAAAAAAAAGGCAGTTTTTTAAGAAGTGAATAATTTTTTAAAAAATATGTTATATTAAAAAATTGAAATACATAAATACTTTTATTTTATTATTTGATATTATAATTTTATTTATATTTTTAATTAATTTGATATCACTTATAATATCGAATTCAATGAAAAATTGTATAAGTAATATATATTTAAATTTAAAAAGTGTCCAAACCTCACTTTAATTAAAGCTTTAAAAGAATATAAATTGAAATTGATTTCACAATTGAAAGATCAATAATGGAATTGACCTTAAAAACAAAAAATAAATATTTTTCATAAAAATAATTTGTTTTCTCAATTGAGCTCTTTACATTTATTATTATCGTCGTTATTTACTTTTTTGTCCAAAGATTAAATCTTCAATAGGAGTTTTATAAATATCTTTTAAAAATAAGCAATTAATTTTTAATTAAAAGAGTTAAATATTTCGAAAAAAATTGAAAATATTAAAATTAAATCAATAATTCATATATTTATTTCAAATAAAATATTAAAAATTTATATATTTTTATTATATTTTATATAAAACATATATATTACCATTCATATAAATATAAAAATATAAAATATATATTTAAATTTATTTATAATTTATATTAAAATTTTGAGATAAATTATTTTTATATTTTATGTTTATATTATTATATTATTATGATATCGTGTCTACGTGCCAGTCTAATTAAAACCCTAGAGACTCTTGTAAGAGAAAAGTTCGTGCTCCCCTTGGCATTAATCGGTGCCGTCATTCCTTTCATCTAACGGTTCAGATCTCTCCACAGTTTGTACCTATAAATCTGGTCTTCTTCCATTGCTGTCTCAGTATGGCAAAAGCCTCCGCCTTCAAACACCAACAACTCTTTTCTTCATTTCCATTATGATTTTTTTCTCTTTCTCTTTTTATTTTTAAAATTTGTAAATAAACATGTATATTTACATGAATTCACGGTTCAAAGCAAATAAAAATAGAAATAAAAGCTTTAATTTTTTTTTATAAAATTTGAGGAAGTTGGTTTCCAGTTTTGATCATATGTAACTTTTGAGTCTTTTAAGCAAAACCCAATTTTGTTTTTATCAATCTTAAGCTGATTCCCAGCTTAAAGTTTCAATCTCTATCTTCTTTGGTCTTTGATCACAAAAAATCTGAACTTTGGAGGCTTTAAAGCAAGACCCATTTCATATTTTATCAATCTTAAACTGATTCCCAGCTCAAAGATTAAATACTTGAGGAAATGGGTTCTTAGTTTTGATAACAAAAATCAAAGCTTTAGAGCTTTTGGTGCAAATCCCATTTTCAGTTTATTAATTTTGAGCTGATTATCATCTTCAAAGATGATATCTATGCTGAAAAACCCTGATTTTAATGAGGACATAGGGAGGCTTATTAGGGACCAAAAGCATCAAAGTGGGGCAACTAACAGTATATCAAGTGATCTAGAGAAAGAGCTGAACATTTATAGAAGTGGCTCAGCTCCTCCTACCGTAGAGGGTTCATTCAACTCAATAGGTGGCTTGCTGAACAGTAAAGGTGGGTGCTTGATTGAGGAAGAACTCAGGGCTGATCCAGCATATGTCAACTACTATTATTCTAACGGGAATCTGAACCCAAGATTGCCTCCTCCACTGTTGTCAAGGGAGGATTGGAGGTTTGCTCAGAGGTTGCAAGGAGTGACTGAGAATAAGGGGAGTAACGGGGATAGGTCACTTTTTGCTGTGCAGCCTGGGTTTAGAGGTGAGAAGGAGAATGGGTTGATAGGGTTGCCTGGGTTGGGGGTACTGGGAACTAGGCAGAAGAGGATTGCTGAGATCTTTCAGGTGATGACTTGGTATATTTTGACACTGTTTCTGAGTTTGGTTTTGGATTGATAATGTTTGCTTCAAGTTGATTTTGGTCAAGTTCGGTTTTCTTCACAGTTGTCAATGTTGTTCTGGTTTGCTTTTTCTTGAGATTAGTGATTCTTTGGTATGTGCAATTTGTTGTTTTGATTGGAAATTGGAGTTTGGAACTCTGTGCTTTATGCAGAATAAGTTACAGGTTACTTACGTGAACCTTGGTTATTTGCATTGTTTATTGTTTAATTTATGACTGCGTGTTCTTGGCAGAGTGAGTTGTCAGGCTGGACATTGAACATCTGTGCTTTCACTATTGGCTTCTTCAATAATGCTTTATATTGTTTATGTTAGTAATTTCATGTGCTATTGGGGTGTAACTTTTTGTCTTTGGGTTATTTAAATTTTGTTTATTTTCAGTGAAAATCCTTTAAAGTCCAATGAACTCTGCTGTTGATACTGCTAATGGGAATTCATTCGTGTACTCTTTTGCTTATGATTGGTATTAACTGATGCTTATTGTTAGGGTTGTGTCCTCTATGGCTAGCTCCTGTTAGTTTGCTAGCCAATCAAATATCGTTCTATGATGTGTATTGAAGGTTGTTCTTGCCGTTTTCTTAGGAAAAAAGAAAGAGCTAATGTAATAAGTTCCATTAGCTTTTTGTGGGAGGATGGTGGTGTCTTGGAGCGGTAATGTGGTGGGAAGTGATTGTGCCCCTGGAATGAAGAGACGTTGAATGGAAAATAAGCTTCCTCACACTGGATAACCTTTTAAAATAGCTAATTTAATCGTGTTTGTATTTAATGTGCAGTTGAGGGTAAAATTATTTTATTTTCTACTGCTTGTTTGGGAAATTTAATTAGTTGCTTTGTAATGCCTTGTAGATTGTAGGATCTTATTGAGGTGTTAATTCCATATTTAGTTCCTTCATGCAAATGTTGGTAATTCCACATTTAGCCTGTAGGATCTAATTTTTGCATAAAGTAAATGTATGATTGCAATCCTAAGCATGTATTTTTATGCAATAAAATGTGATTGTGAGCTTTACTATGTTGAACAACAGATGAATTGTCTACATTGATACCCTTTTTTGGTTTTTTTTTTTTTCCCATTTCCAAAACATGATTTGGAAAGTAAGAATTCCTAAGGTCTTTTTAGAGTGTTCTTTAAATTTACTCCTTGAACAAGTGGCATAGTTGCATGTTTTATTTTTGTGCATCTCATAATCTGTACTTATGCTTGTAGTTATTGGCTTTGAGTGATTTTATTCTGAAAATGTATATTACCTCTCTACCTGTCATTCTCTCTCTGCCGCTACTAGCTTTATGGTTTAATTTCAAAATGCAGGATGATGTGAATCATGCAATGAATGTCTCAAGGCACCCATCCCATCCAGCTAATCGCAATGCATTTGATGATGGAATTGAAAGCTCGGAAGCCCAATTTGCTAATGTGCATCATGATTTAAGATCTGTTGATGCTTTACGCTCTAGTGCAAGTAAACCAGGAATACCTTCAGTCCAAAATGTTGGTTCCTTTGCTTCTCATACTTATGCTTCTGCTTTGGGTGTATCATTGTCAAGAAGTACCACAGCTGATCCTCAAATTGCAGCCAGAGCTCCTAGTCCTCGCATTCCACCCATTTGTGGCCAGTCTAGTTCCATTGAGAAAAGAAGCGTAACTGGTTCCAATACATTCAATGCTGTTGGTTCTAACAGTTCTAATGGTTTCTCAACAAGTGTGGGTGAATCTGCAGAGCTGGTTGCTGCTTTGTCCGGCTTGAATCTGTCAACAAATGGTGTGGTTGATGAAGAGAACCATTCACAGTGTTGGGCTCATCATGGTATTGATGACAATCATAATCCGTTCAATCATAGTCTTATCAATTTGCAGGGTGATCAGAAGCATATTAAACAAAATTCATACTTGAATAAGTTGGAACCTGAACATTTTCATCTGCATTCTACTGCTCAGTCTGGAAAGGGACCTTATTTAAATACAAGTAAAGGCAGTGGAGTTGGGATGGACCTTATGAAGTCTTCTTTAATGGCTGATGGACCGATTGAACTCCGTAAATCTGCTAACTCATACCCAAAAGGACCTCTTACACACACAGTCAATGGCTTAGGAAGTCCTCCGAACCACCAGAATTTGGATAATATGAATTCTACACTTCCAAAGTATGGCTTAACTGGCTATTCTATTAATCCTTCATCACCACCCATGCTAGGAAACCAGCTTGGAAGTGGTACTTTGCCACCTTTATTTGAGAACGCCGCTGCTCTGTCTGCAATGGGAGGAACTGGCTTGGAATCTAGAGCTTTGGAAGGAGGTTTGACTTTGAATTCAAATTTCATGGCTGCTGGAGTGGAACTGCAGAATCTTACTAGTTTGGGAAATCACAATGCAGGAAATGGTCTCCATGCACAGCAGTTGGACCCGTTGTATCTTCAGTACTTGAGATCAAATGAATTAGCTGGTGCACAGGTTGCAGCTATTAATGATGCCATGATTGATAGGGAGTACAGTGGTAATTCATACATGGATTTGATCGGTCTTCAAAAAGCTTACATAGGGTCACTGCAAAAATCATACTATGGAAATCTTGCACTTGGTCTAGGCATGTCATATCCTGGAGGTCCTCTGGTGGGTCCCCTTTTTCCAAACTCTCCTGTTGGGTCTGGAAGTCCTGTCCGACACAATGACCGAAACTTGCGCTTTGCTTCTGGGTTGAGGAATGTATCTGGTGGAGTCATGAGGGCTTGGCATTCAGAAGCTGCTGGCAACTTGGATGACGGTCTTGCATCTGCTTTATTAGATGAATTTAAAAGCAACAAAACTAAATGTTTTGAACTTTCAGAAATTGCAGGTCATGTTGTTGAGTTCAGGTAAATAATGGTTTAAACTCTTGTCCTCTTGTTTTGGACTTCTAAAAGTTCAATGCCACTATTAATTACCTTATATATAACAGTGCCGATCAGTATGGGAGTCGATTTATTCAGCAGAAACTTGAGACAGCTACAACAGAAGAGAAAAACATGGTTTTCCATGAAATCATGCCCCGAATGCTTTCATTAATGACTGATGTGTTTGGTAATTATGTGATTCAAAAGGTATTTTGCATTAGATATCAAATTTCTTATGACTTGCTTATGAGGTTTAAGCATCTTTCTTTCTTCTTTGTTATTTTTTTTTATGTAATTTGTTCAATCATTTTGCAAATTCTGTACCACAAGCTCATCAACTGATTACTATATCCGGGCGGATATATTTGTGTACAGTTTTTTGAGCATGGATCTGCTTCCCAAATAAGAGAACTTGCTGACCAGCTGACTGGGCATGTATTGACACTTAGCCTTCAGATGTATGGCTGTCGAGTGATCCAGAAGGTGTATTTCCCAAACAATGATGCTCCAGTTGTGGATTTTTTTATTTCATATGAAAACTCGTTCTTTAGATGGAGCTGAATCTTTCATTTCTCCAAAAATATATGAAATGGTTAATTCATATGAGCATTGATTGCATGTTTGTTGTTCTGCACAATGATGCAATATATGATCATATTAACTTGTAGTCATTGCTGTGCTAAGTTTAACGATCAGCTTTAAGACAGAATGCCTTTTTATCATAATGTTGTCTGAATCTATTCTGTTATATTGACATTGCAATGGTACTAAAAGTTTTTCGTGTTTGCTCCTTGATCTGTTATTCAGGCTATAGAAGTAGTTGAGCTGGACCAGAAGACTAAAATGGTCAAAGAGCTTGATGGACATGTTATGCGCTGTGTGCGTGATCAGAATGGGAACCACGTTATCCAGAAGTGTATAGAATGTGTACCTGAAGATGCTATTCAGTTTATTGTTTCCACATTTTATGATCAAGTTGTGACACTATCCACTCATCCATATGGTTGTCGAGTCATCCAGGTTGACAGAATTCGTCTTGATACTTAACATATCTTTTCCATTTGGGTATATGGCCTGGGACAAATAAATTCAAATTTTATGATTTATAATGATACATATCTTATGCTACAGAGAGTCCTGGAGCATTGTCATGAGGCAAAAACCCAACATATAATGATGGACGAGATTTTCCGGTCTGTGTGCATGTTGGCACAAGACCAATATGGGAATTATGTTGTACAGGTTTGTCATTTATTTTGGCAGCTCTTTATCCTTGTAGTCTTGAGAGAACAGTTCTTTTGTAGTTTGGATTTTAAATTCTATTGATGATAGAAAAATCTGTTCTTACAATACCTTGTTGCTTGGTGTAGTTGAATCCCATGGTTGATGAGAAAATATCTATCTTATGGGAACTTTTAGATTTGTTGCGAGTATGATGTGAGATCTGTTCATTGAGGAAAAAATTTAGATGCATGTTATAAACTGCATTTTGCCTTTCTGGCTTGCCTTCAGAAATAAAAGTGGAACAGACAGGACCAAGGGTCCTAGATTTTTATAATGTCCTCAACTTGTACTTGTTACTACTCGTATCAAATTATAAAATGCTGGACAAGTTCTAGCTCGAGAGCTTGAAGTAGTCTATGAATGCCTTATACATGCACAAATTAGAATCATTAATCCAAGATATTATTATTTTAAAGCATCAAATGAACTCTGCTTGCAACCATTGTTTCAGTGCCTCGAACCTTTTTACCTGTCTTGTTTGTTGTGTTCAGAATTTGGCAAAAGATCTTTCCTTGTTTCGGTCCTTTACAATTTTATATTTGGTTGTTTGGAAACCTCCTCTTCTAATTGGTTGCTTCTAATAAAATTACAGCATGTTCTGGAGCATGGGAAACCACATGAACGCTCTGCTATAATCAGGAAACTAACTGGGCAGATAGTTCAAATGAGCCAGCAGAAGTTTGCATCTAATGTTATAGAAAAGTGTTTAACTTTTGGAACTCCTGCAGAACGCCAAAACCTGGTCAATGAGATGCTTGGTTTGACTGATGAAAATGAGCCCCTTCAGGTTTGTCATTCACCCTATGCAACCATTGTTGACTAAACTGAAAAGCATTAAAGCATGTGTAGTAATTTCTTGTCTCGCTAGTGTATAATATTTTAGTCCTTTGTCTTGCTGTACTGCTCATGAAAGTAACATGATTCCTGATGATACAAACTCGGGGTTTTGTAGATACCTCTCATGAGGCTGCCTAAGCATAATCGTGAGAATATAACATCTTTTCTCAAGTGAATGGTTATTTTATTTGTGTTGTTTGACAAGCAATACAAGGTTTCTTTACTTGAAAACCATTTGAAGGGCAGTGATGTTTCTGTATTATGTTTCAATGCTTTGACCTGGTTATGGCTTGCTTAAGGTTTTCTCAACTTTCTCTTCCTTACATTGGTTTTTGTTTATTCTTGTTAGGTGATGATGAAAGATCAGTTTGCAAACTATGTTGTACAGAAAGTGCTGGAAACCTGTGATGACCAGCAGCTTGAACTAATCCTCAACCGAATAAAGGTTCACTTGAATGCTCTGAAGAAGTATACTTATGGGAAGCATATAGTTGCGCGTGTGGAGAAACTTGTTGCAGCTGGAGGTAATTGCAGTTGATTTCTCCTTTTTCATGATGTTCTGGCTGATTTCTATCGTTGCAATGTATCAGCTGATTATTTTCAGATGCCCATGCCCTGACATTCTTGTCTTCTACCAAATAGCACTTCGAAGTAGGACTTTGTATTTATGATTTTTTGCTCTTTTTTATTATTATTTGTGGGTAAACAACACTTGCACTGTTGCACACCTGTGGTCTTTGGGTTGGATATGGACTTCATTAGAGTCTTTTGGTTTTCCTACAATGCTACTGTCTTTGTTGTTTGTGACGTACAAGCCATGTTACTCTTTCTTCTATTAGAACTTCCCTCGTATGATAATCCAGTAGTTTGGAAATAGCATAACTGATAAAGGTGCTTCATCTCTTGCAGAGAGGAGGATCAGCATTCTGGCTCCAAATCCGGCAGCTTAGATGGTGTAGGAAACGAACCCGATGTACAGCTAACTGAGAATAGTACGAGTGCCTCTTGCTTCTTTCTTTTTATGTCTAGTGACAGCCCTGTCTTGTTTATATGGATAGATAGGAGCTGGTTGGAAATAAAAATTGTTGGCTTTACTTAAAACTGTACATTATTGTTTAAGGATATAACCTAGAATCAGGTTAGCTGAGTCTCATACAGTGAACAACCCGATGCCTTTATCTGCTGAGGAGAGAAAGTTACTGTACAAGTTTCAAGGTTATTAAAAGAGAGGTAGCAAATTTGTGATTGTGATTGTACAAATCTTACCAGGTTAAGTGAGCCTTTGTATTTAGGAGCGCCTGGAATTTTTCTTCTGTAAGGAATGATCTTTTTGCTAATTTAATGAACTTTTTCCGTATCCTGATATTTCTTTCATGTTTGTGCCAGTATTGATGTTCTGATTTGATTTATGCCAATTTTCTGCCATATTGGTGTTTAGTATTAGGCATCTGACTCAGTCCTGTGCTTGCTGGCGTCGGGGATCAATCACAATGTAAATCTGTGATGATCTGGTGTCTGAATGGTCCTAGTTCAGTGAGCAATAGAACTTCATTGGAAGCAAAAGAAAGCATTTTACTTTTGGAGGCCAAGCTTTTTGGATATGGTGACAATGAAGCACATTCACAAGTTTTCATCCCAAAAGCTAAGAATTTGTTGCTTTGTTAGAGAGTGTACTTTTCTCTTTGTTGTTTAAGTTCGAATCCATTGGGAGTCTCCGATGGTAGGTTATAAGAAGGTAACTTTTCATGAATTTGTTAGGTTCCACGTAGATAAATCTATTTGGACTAACTCAGTGAATTTCCTTCTTGGAAAAATTGGGCATGGTTTTCCGTCATTGTTTTCCAAGAAAATAAAGCATTGGCAGCTTATGCTAAGGTAAAAAAACATGAGATGGACCAGGGAAAAGGCCATGGAAGAACTCTTAATAATGAAAATTAATGGTAAGGAAGAACAGAATGCAGGATTTATATGCCCTATTCTGAAATCAACCATGCTCTTTGTCTAGGTTTTAGCAAAATAAAAACAAGAACAAATTTACAGGAACTCCAAACCAAGCAACCATTGCAAGAAATTATATATAATATAAGTTGCATATCTGAAGAGTTGAACTTGTACAGTTTATGAGTAAATCAAATGGTAATGGCATTTTTTTTTTCTGATTTACCTGCCAAATGCATCCAGCAATCCTGAAACGGAGAACAGAACACAGTTTGAATTACTTGTTTTCTAACTTCACAATGTCAATGTGAGCTTTTCCTTCCATTTTCCTTGTGAAAACTTGCCTGACATAATCAACATACTTCATTTTTCTGTACATTCTAGGGCGATGGAGTTCATCCACCATTGATTCAAGTGGACCAATTTCTTGCTCTTCATCTGGAAACACAAATGCTGCAATTGATATTCTCTCTTTTTTCTCAGTTGTGATGGCTCTGTGTTCAATGCTTTTGTACATCCCATTGCTCAGAATCTGACCAAATAGAAAACTGTCACTCACAATCATTAAGCATTAAAGGGTTCGTGGGCTTTACTCTGTATTCTCTCTTGAATCGGTCTAAATACATATATTTACATCGAAATTTAACGGATTTGAACCCAAGTAACAAAGAGAAGTACACAATCTCTTTGTGACTTGAGCCAATCATCCGTGTTTCAGATTTAACTTCTAGAGATTTTAAGAAATGTTCTTGTGAAATAGTAACTACCTCAGTAGCATCACCAATGTTCACTACTAGAGAATTGGGAACCGGCTTAACATTAACCCATGACTGTTTATGCTTGATTTGGAGGGCAGTGATTTCATCATCTTGCAAAAGCAAGGTCAATGCGCTGCTATCAGAGTGAGGACTAATGCCAAGAACAAGTTCTGGCCTTAAGCAAGCTGGGTAATAGTTCATTCTTATTCCTTGTTTTAGCTCTCCTTGCAACTTTATTAGACCATCTCTATCCAGCCCCATCAATACTGATAAATTGGCATAGATCTCTGCAGCAACCTTCTGTACTTCTTTTGCGTACTGATCCACTGCTTCTCTGTGAAAAAAGAAGACAAAGAAAGGAATTCAGTCATGGAACTGCATGAAGTGCCTTATTGTCATGCGGGGATTCAAAAGATTTCACGATTTTGTATCACAAAAGTGACTTCACAAGTATGTGTTAAATCTTTACATATATATATATATATATATATATATCTGATTCTCATAATATCTAAAATGTAGAGAAGCTGGATCATATATGTTTTCTTTGGTCCAAAGATCTCTCGATTTTGTTCTAAAAAAATGTCTCATAAACTTGATTAGAGTCTCTATCTAGGTGTTACATTTATTCTGCTATATTCTTATCTTCTTGGCTTGTTGCAGATATATACATGAAGAGCATAAGAAAAATTGTTATATACTTGAAACCCGGGGAAGTGACTGGCCAGAACTTGAAATTTCTTTTTTCAGGAGGGAGAGTGTTCAAGAATATCATGTCATTCCAATCAAGTTTCTGCTCCTCTGAAACTACATAGGCTTGCCCAAATCCTTGAAGATCATTTGCAGCCATTGCATACTTTTTTTTTTCTTTGAGTGGAAGTTCAAAGAATGCTGCAACAGCAGTCTTCATCTTATGCAAGACCTCTATTGCTATCCCATGATTTGTTATCTGTAAAAACAACATTTCATTCTATGTTTAAGGAAAGCACAACACCAGACCAGACCAGACCAGACACCAGGTTCATTGATCAGATTTACCTGAAAAAATCCCCACTCCTTGCAGGCAAGGTCAAATTTCCTTCTTTCATCTTCATCTCCTTTGATTAACAAGGAGAAATCTATGACTGGGATTTCAAGTGAAGCAGGCAAACTCTCAGAAACTTGTGGCCTATCCTTGTGTTCTTGGATGTATCTGTCTGGAATTGAATAAGAATCATTCCTCACTATCTCATGGATGCTTGGCACTGGCAAAGACCTGCCCCAACCCAATTTCTCTTCTTCCTGGACACCTCCACTCTCAACTTTCACTTCCATTAGTAGTTACTAAAACTTTGCCAAAAAATTGCTTTTCTTAAAAGAGAATCTGGCTACTCGTTTCTGGCAATTTTGCAGTTATCCTTCTTGTTTGACTTGCCAATTTATTAGTTTTCTGTCATTGTTGTCCTCTTATCCTTGGTTTGAGGAAACTATGAAAGTGTTGACTTTTTATCTACTTGTGCAAAAGAAAACAAATCAAATAAAGTTTAGTGGACAAAACATTATGTTTGGAGTAAGGGGAGAGGGAGCAAAGGAAAGAAAAATAAAGTAACGAAAACAGAAAAAAAATTTTTGTTTGAATAAATTTTTAACTTAAAAGAAATGTAAGAGACGAAAACTTTGGTTTTTTTTGTAATTTTTATTTTTTTAATATCTCAATTTGGGAAAAAAGTGAAAGAAAAGAAAATTGAAATTTTTTTTTATAAAAGAGTATTTTATCTATATTTTTATTACGATATTAAATTTGATTATATAATTAATACTTCTTATAAAAATAATTTTTTTATAAGTATTTTATATAATATTACAATTTATAAATATTTTAGGATTTTTTAAGTCTTAATAACAAAACAAGTTAAATTATTGTTAAAATAAATTAAAAAATTAAATTAAACACAAAATTAAGAATAAATTAATGACTAACTAATAGTTTTATCGTATTAAATATGTTTAATTTTGTTTAAAAAAATTTATTTGTATAAGCTAGATAGTATAAAAATATATATTTGTATATTATATGTTACTTAAAAAAAAAAAAGATTATAATTGAAAAAAATATTATAATAAATTTTTTTTTTTCATTTTCTCAATTTATTCATACAATGATTTGTTAGAATTCTTTATTTATTTATTTATTTATATGTATCTAAATATAGCGTAAATGTATGCTGTTTGTCATTATTGCATATATGAGCGGACAGTATGGTCTGAAATGGTCCAAATTTGCTTGCCACAGTTCCAGCTTGTAACAAAGAAATGAAAAGCATAGTTAGGATCCCTTGCTTTTGAACTTCACAATGTCAGTTTGAGCCTTTCCCTCCATTCTCCTTGCCAAAGCTTGCCTGCAGATGTAATCTGCATACTTGATTTTTCCATACATTCTTGGTTGAGGACAATCATCCACCATTGATTCAAGAAATTAAACTTCCATTATGATGTCAAGTTGTTATTGGATATTAATTTTGGCCATTCAAAGATGCAGCTTGGACTTTGGATTATGAAAAGCCTCAAGGTTCTGAATTTTTTTATATTGGTAATTCTATTTTGTTGTCATGGAATCATAACCATATTAAGGACTTGGAAAGCTTTCTTCATGCTTTTTGCAGTCTTGAGGTAATGTATGGATACTTAAGACATCATTGAAGAATCCCTCAACTTGAAAATTTAACTTGTTTTTCCATTAAAAAAAAAAAAGCTCGGTAGGTAAAGATTCTAGATTATATAGAAAGATTCTAGATCCATCAGTCCTGGTTTAGCTTTCGGTTTAATTGAAAAAAAAAACTAACAAGCAAGTAATGTAGTAATAATGTACATGAAATCAAGATACATGGGCTTATTCTTCATTCCAAATTGACTATGAAATTATTTTTCTTCATTTTCCTTTTTTGCTAAGAAAAGAGTCAATTATTTATTTATTTACTTGCCCCTTTTCATCTAGTAATACAGAATTCAAGAGAACAGCTGGTGTTACTTGTTTTCTATCTTCACCAGGTCAGTGTGAGCTTTTCCTTCCAATTTCCTAGCTAAAAATTGCCTGATGTAATCAACATATTTAACTTTTTTATACATTCTAGGGCAACGGTGATCATCCACCATCGTGTCAAGTGGACCAATTTCTAGTTCTTCATCCGGAAGTGCAATTGTTGCGATCGAAATTCTTGCTTTCTTCTCATTGGTGATGGCTCTGTGTTCAATGCTTTTGTACATTCCATTGCTCAGAATCTGAAAACAAAAAAAGAAAACAAAATAATGCGGGAATTGACACTCAATTTCATGTAAAACATGACAGATGAATACAGGAATCGCCAAAGCTAACTATAACTACCTCAACAACGTCACCAATGTTAACCACAAGAGAATTTGGAATTGGTTTAACTGGAATCCACTCTTCTTTGTGCTTAATTTGGAGGCCAGTGATCTCATAATCTTGCAGAAGCAAAGTTAATGAGCTTCCATCTGAATGGGGGCTAACACCAAGAACAAGATCAGGCCTTGAACAAGCTGGATAATAATTCATTCTCATGCATTGTTTAAGCTCCCCTTGCAGCCTTCTTAGACCATCTCTATCCATCCCCATCAATAGTGATATGTTAGCATATATTTCCTCAGCAACAATTTGTACTTCTTTTGTGTATACCTCCATTGCCTCTCTGTGAAACAATAATGAGAAAAGAAATATGTAATATAGTAAAATTACAAGGATTCTTTGTTGTCAAATTTTGTTGTACAATCTTCTTTTTTATGGTACAAGGATGCCGTAGTCTGGAAATATGGAAAGGGATTGCAAGTGCCGAGATTTGAATCTCGGACTGCCATTCCTTTGTGTAATGATGGAAAGTATATAGATCAACAGGATTAAGAAAGAACACATACCTGAAACCTGGTAAAGTGAGTGGCCAGAACTTGAAATTCCTGTTTTCAGGAGGGAGAGTGATTAAGAATATCATGTCACACCAGTCCAGTTTTTGCTGCTCTGAGACTACATAGGCTTGTCCATATCCTTGAATATCATTTGCTGCCATTGCATACTTCTTTTTCTCTTCCAGTGGTAGCTCAAAGAAAGCTGCCACAGCTGCTTTCATCTTGTGCAGGATCTCCTCTTCCACACCATGATTTGTTATCTGTAAAAGTATAGCACAAAGCCAAATACAAGTTTCTTTTTTATAACTTGGTCACTGAAACTAAAACTCCAGCACTCTTCGCGACTGTTAGCAAAAGAAAATACGAGTTTCATTGTTTATTTACCTGAAAAAATCCCCATTCCTTGCAAGCAAGGTCTAGCTTCCTTCTTTCATGCTCATCTCCTTTGGCTAGCAAGGAGAAATCTATGATTGGAATTTCCAGTGAAGCTGGAAAGATCTGAGACACTAATGGCCTGTCCTTGTGTTCTCGGATGTATCTTTCAGGAACTGATTGAGAATCATTCATCACTATTTCCTGGACACTTGGAACTGTCAAGGACTTCCCCCAACCCAATCCCTTATCTTCTTGGATGCATCCATTTTCAACTTTCAGATCCATTGTAATTGCTGAATATTGGTTTCTAAGCCAGGCTTATATAAGCAAATTACAAGAAAATTGCTTGTGGTGATTTTCTGAAGGGTTGCTTGAAAATGGTAGTTTTGGACCTTTTGTTCTAGTTTGACTTGCTGGTTTAAGAATGGCAGATGGGATGATTTTCTGAAGTCACTGTCATTTGTTGTCAGCCATTGTTTTTGGCTATGTAAAGACAAAAGTTCGATATGTCACCTTTTAAGGATGATTCCATGAACCAATTGATTAAGTTTCAAGTTTAACTTTTACATTTCTCTTTGATCACACGAAAACAATTCAAAATCTGTTTTTGATCATAAAACAACTCAGATTATAGTACTGAGACTAAAGAAAAGGAAATTAATCACAGAAATTAAGGATTATCAACAATGAAATCAGAAAAAAAAAAAAAAAACAGTAGAAAATTTACCAAAATTTCTAGTCTTTTGTACTAATCTGAATTCTATACCATCTAGAATTCCACACATGCAATTTCCTATAACAGAATAAAAGTTTGAACAACAATGGAATCTGGTGCTCAACTAATAAGATATGCAGTTCCATCAATTAGACAGGACATTGTGGCTTGCTTCTTTCATGTTGATCTTATTTTACAAGATTGATTCTCTTTAATTAAAACTTAAAAGCTCCATTTTCAAGTAATTTTGGCCTTTTGCTTCAGGTTTGACTTGCTAATTTATTATGTTAAATATAGAATCTATGATTGGAATTTCATGTGAAGCCGGAAATATCTCAGAAACTAGTGGCCTGTGGCTGTCCTTTTGTTTTGTATTTATCTTTTCAGGAACTGACTGAGAATCATTCCTTACCATTTCCAGGACACTTTGCACTGGCAAAGAAGGAATTCCCCCAACCCAATCCCTTGTCTTCTTTAGTAGCTCCATTTTCAACTTTCAGATCCATTTACAGTTACTACAAAATGTTGGTTCTTAGGCTCAGGCTTTACGCAGACCAATTGACACAAGTATGTTGCTTCTGTTGAGTTTTAAAGACTATGGAAATTGACAAAAACATAAGAATAATCACAGAAAGGATCATCTACCATGAAATCAATACATGAACATACAATAAAGCCACAATTTTAACAATTTAGGAAAGTTTCTAGTCTATTATACTAATCTAGATTACTCATGACAGAGCAAAAACTCGAACCACAATTGAAAGCCGGTGATTAGCATCAGTTGCAGTAAACATATCCTTTTAACCATCAATTAGGAGGGCAAAATGTAATGAGATAGCGAGGAGCCCTGCAAGTCTTAAGACTTGAAGAATCATCAAAAGCATAGCTATAAGCCCTGGGGCAAATGGCCTTAAAAAGATTAGCAAAAATGGTAGGTTTGCAGCTTTTGGGATTGGCAAACTCCCCAGTGCAGCAATACCTATCTGTTTTTGCGGCCAAACATGCACTCTTGCAACCAACCACTTTCCCTTCTTTCTTCACAACCAAGGCAGCAGGGCAACAAACATTCAGATTAGCCTCACAAGCCGCGACCCCGCACCCCGCACCACCACCTATTGGCACCATTGAGACAGGAACATTAAATCCATCAACCAAACTCACATCATAGTAATGTAAAGCAGATGTTGGACCCCCAAGTGTCATTTCAACAAGAGTTGCTGGTGGTTTGCCTCCAATGCCTTTGCATTGTAAAAGCCCTGCACAATCTCCAGTTTGACATGAACCTTTGCCTGTTTGGTCAAAACAACAGCCTTGTCTAGGCCAGATTCTACCTGACCATCTTTCAGGTAATTCCAGGATTGTCTGTTCACCGCAGGAGAGATGGAACCCGCCATCTCTGGGATTTTCATGGCCTGCACTACCAAGGATTCCAGGCCATATGCTTTCTTGACAGTTGTTTACTAGCATGATCTGGGTGCCATCTACATGAAAACAACAAGAAGCAATACGTTTAGTTCCTTAAAAAATTATTGCATCAGAGAAAACTTTAACACAAATCTGGGAGAATTGGATGCCTGTCAAGGATAAGGAGATGAAAATGCAGAAGAAAAAGAAGAGATTTGAAAAGGTTGTCATTTGTCTTGAAAATTGATGATGGAACTGCTTACTGGTTTGCTAAGCATACATATCAGAGCGGTCTCCTTTTTTGCCACTATGAAATATTTACTTTGAATAACCGCAAGTGTAAATACGGTTTGTTAACAGACAAAGAAATGGTTACTTTTTCACTTTTTGGTACTTGATTGCCATGATTTAAACTTGATCATTGATTATTGGTGCATATGTAAATAAGGTTTGTTAACAGATACGGTTTAGTCGTTGCTGCATGATTTTGTACTCAAAGGATAGATCCGAATCGCTTTTCACATTAAAAAAAAAAAAAAAAAACCTTTCAACTTAATATTACAAAACTAAAATGTAGGTGCATTAAATTTGAAGTTTAACTTAATTGATTCATGCAACCAAGTGATATCTATTACGTCTAGAATTTAAATTTCAACACTTATAACTTTTTTTTAAAATTTTCTGGTTACTGCTTACTTTGTATAAGAAAAAAATAGTTGCATTGCATAATTGAAGAATTCAAGCGCTGAATTATCAGAATCTGAGAGCTTTTGCCATACGCAACAATCAGTTTTCCCCTCCCACACCAAAGAAAAAGGGGAATTTGTTACTTATTGTCATGAAATATTAGTTTCCCCAAAATTCTTCCTAGAGCTTGAAACTTGAGCAAATCCAAGCACAGTCATGAACCATGACAGAAATAATAATTACAAGTTAAAGCTATTAACTATCATATCCTTTTCCAACAGGAGATGGTGGTATATATGTAAATCACAAATTTCACAAAAGGATACCAATCGTGTGCCTCCCACAGTGTCATTTCTTTTTAGCATAAGATTCTGTCATTGGTGTCCCCCAAATCCTGTTACAAGAGAAATTTTAATGGGGTCACAAAGCTTCTATCTGCCATTTCCTCTGCCGGATATTTATAGAGATGTTGTTGAACCTGCTTCAATATCAACATCCCTGTCTTCGAAGGCTGATGAGCATGCGCTAGCCTTGTCGAAATATGATGAATCTGGATATGAATGCACATAATCTTCAAACCCTGTGCCACCACTTGTGTTACCCTTTTTGCTATCATATCCGCAAGGTGATGGCACCAGTTCTGGCAGTGCCACTTCGCCCTCCAAGTACCTTACTACTTGTCTTATTGTAGGCCTTGCCTCTGGCGCATCATTGGAACACATCAATCCAAGTTTGATCACAACAACAGCCTCTAGCTCATCGAAGTCACCATTCAATTTTGGATCCACAACCTCAAGAACTGCTCTTCTTTGCCATCTTTCCCACACCCACTCCACCAAGATCAGCTCCTCAGGCAGTGCCTTTGGCTCAATGGGTCTCCTCCCACATACCACTTCAAGCAGAAGTGCACCAAATGCAAACACATCTGTTCTTGTGGTTGGTTTACCAGTTTTTGCAAGATCAGGTGCTAGGTACCCCAATGTACCAACCACCCTGGTGGAGATTGGATTGGCGCCATGCTCATATAATTTAGCAAGACCGAAGTCGCCAAGTCTCCCATTTAGATCAGAATCTAACAGAATATTGCCTGCCTTGATGTCTCTATGAATTACAGTCTGTTCCCATTCTTCATGCAAATATAAAAGACCCGAAGCCACACCTTTGATTATCCTGAACCTCTCTTCCCAACTGAGAACTCGTTTAGGCTCAACAAACAGGTACTTGTCCAAGCTACCATTCGGCATGAAATCATAGACAAGTAACAGATCACCTCCACACCGACACCATCCTAGCAGCTGAACAAGATTTCTATGGCGAAGACGGCCAATACTAGCAATCTCAGAGACAAATTCTCTTAGGCCTTGTTTTGATTCATGAGAAATTCGCTTGACAGCAACTTCAGTATTAGTACTTGGCAAAGTTCCTTTGTAAACTCGGCCAAATCCACCAAACCCAAGTAGCTCTTTATCTCTGAAACCCCTTGTTGCTTTCTTGAGTTCTTGGTAAGAGAATCTGTGAGGACCAACTTCCAATTCCCAGGCCTCAATTATGTCTGCATTCTTCATTTTTCTAACAAGGTAAAATGAGAAAAAAATGACTGACATCATTACTAGGAAAGCTGAAAAGGTAACACAGAGAATTAGCATAGTTTGATTCTTTGCAGGCCTTGGAAGAGAAGGCAGAGAAGGTAGAGATAGAGATTCAGCCTGTCCACCCATGTTAAAACTCCATCCCAAGACATAGTGAGAGCTTGAAAGCAAACCTGTTGAAGCAGAAAATCCCACAAACATGGAATCTTCAAGAATTTGTGAGAGATCCACATCAAAGGACAATATTGAGGACCTTGGTTTCTCAGAAAAAGGAGAAATTTTCACCTCTAATCGATTTCTAGTTGAATCATAATCAATCCAAGCCTGGATCAATTTTCCACTCTTGAGAATTAACTCTTGCTCTGTTGAGTTTTCAAGAGAATATGCAGCAGAAGCTGAAGCATTTGACACCATGCTATTGAGATTAATACCAATATGATTATCATCCATATCATCCAACTCTAAATCTTTCACAGTATCAAACTCTACTGCAAAAATATGGTTACTTGTTTTCCCATTGTCAGTTACATTGAGCAAGCCTAGATATTGACTAGGGAAACCTGAAAGGTTTTTTGAAGGAGAAAGAGTGAAAGCAAGGCCATGACCACCAAGCTTTGGAAACTCAGGAACCATGGCAAAAGCAAAAGCAGTTGAAAAAGAAAAAACTTGGCTGCTGTTGCTTGAGTTCTTGAACTGAATTGGAGATGAGTAAAAAGCATGGCCACTTACACGAATAGAAGTATTAGTTAAACAAAGCAAGCCATTGTTTGCAATGTCTGCAACTCCAGTTAAACTCATGTTGTTGCCTGCATCATGAAATCCATTGAAAATGAACTGATCTAGTTGAGAAAAAACTTGGTCTGAAAAAACAAGTAAAACCCAGAAAAATATCAACTCCTTTGCCATGAAAAAGCAAGTGGAATTGGTTTTTTCCAGGCTTTTGAATCAGAAAATGTGATGGTAATCAAATTTTGAACTATAGTTTTTGTTATGCATAACTGTTACTTCAATAATTCTTGCCCTCTGTTTCCTTTTATTTATAGGCAACTAATTAGTAAATGGATGACTATTTTATTTATGTAAATCATATTAATTTTTGAAATCAAAATGGATTTTAAAATTTTTTTTTAATATAATTAAAGGAAAGATAAAATAGGATTATTATTTTATAAGGGAAAGCTTATATGAAATTTTTTAAGTTTGCAAAAGTTTTTTTAAAAAATAATTTAATAAAAATTTTAAATAGATAGATGATTAGAGTTTAATATAAAAATTAATAATATGTAAAAAATTATTAAAAATATATTTATAATTTAAATTTAATGGATATTTATTTAATGATAAAAATTTTATTAATATTTTTTAAAATATATATTAAAATTTATTAAAAAATTTTAAATTGTACATATATGATTTAAATAACAAGACCTTTAATTTATTGATTTAATTTTAATTTTTAATTTTAATTATTTTTAATTAAAAACTTCACAAATTTTATTTAAACACTTTTGCCTAAATCTTTCTCTATTTTATATATAGACGACAGAATTTTTTAATTCCTTGAATGAATTTGTACAATTTTCATGTCTAAGTTTAATAATTAATAATTATTTTTTAAAATATGTCTTAAATTAATATGTTCCCCGTGGGGCACAAACAATGTAAACGCTCTGGAACGAGAGAGAATTATGGCGTTGGTACGACACCGTGTGGGGGTATCGAGTGTGGGGCGTGTAATAAATGCTTTTAAACGTGCGACATACCATCTGTTGATTTTTAATTGATTGTTGTTGACTTTGAGAATTTTTGGGTTGACTCTTTTTGTTGAGTTTGAGCAGTAAATTTTTTATTTTCTAACATGTTGAAAGCTCAAATCTTGTAATTTTTTAATAATAATTTAAATTTTAAATTTATTAAATATTATTTTTTAAAAAAATTATATTAATTTATTAAATTAAATTTTAGATTTGTGGCATTTTTCTAATTGCCCATTAATGAAGGATGAAATAATTTTACGATGAATTTAATTGAAAAACATTTTACAAAACTTATATATGTTTAAGTATATATATTTTAGAAAACATGATCTCAAATTAAATAAATAATTTATCTTAATCAAGTGTTAAGGGTATTTTATGGTTTAAGAGATAAAATAGATATTTTATTTTAAAGTATGAGTTATTAACCAAATAAAAATAATTTTATTAATTTGATCAACGTTGATCAACTCAACTGATTATTTAATATCATGTTAAAACACTAACTTGTCACCTTCTAATTGAATCGTTGACTATTAGTTCAACTTGGACTAACAATATTAGCCCTAACCCTGTCACTTAGAGCTCGAGCCTCCTAAACCTAACATTATTACCGTATAGATATAAATAACCTCAATTCCTTGAGCATAAGGACTTCAACTTTCATATATATTTTTTATTTTTCTCTTCTTCTTAATCTTTTCTTGAATATTGACATAAGCAATAGAGCACGAAGGTCAAATAAACCTCTGGCTTTTTCTATTAACCGACCTTCCATCTCATGACTTCAAGTTTTTATTTTTGTCAAGACAGTTCGGCACCAACATCTAAGATTAAAACAAGATATTATCATGATATGATAAAAATTCAAAAATTGGATAGAAATTTTAAGTTGGAATCATAATATATTTTTATCCAATATTTTAAATCATTTTTCATTTCTTTGTATGGAAAAAATAAAAGTACTAAATCCTGTTGAGTTTCTCATTTTCTTCGGATATGTTCTATAGAGAAATTTCTTGGAAAGAAATAATAAATTCGATTTGCAGACTTTAAATTATTTCTTCAAACGTCAGCCATTGATGTTGACTTGCTCTCAATTCAATGGCCAGGAAACTAAAGAAAATTTAGGGAAAACCATAAGCAAATTGGATAACTAATTGTCCAAAAGAGTTTGGTAAACCATCAATTTGTCTTTTATTTTTTTCAAATTTCTTTTAATGTTGGACAGAGATGTGACTAACTAATATATAATAAAAAATTACATGAAAGGTACATCTAACGAACAAACAAATGATTTGTGTCTCTTAAGTTTTGACTAACTTTTTTTATATATTTTTAGTGTTTTAGGATTCTTTAAATATTAAAATATATTGAAGTTTATAATTCTACGTTATTTAAGATTTCTTTTTAGTTTAACTTTTTTTTTTTAAAAAAATAAAGTTATTGTTGCTAATATGCTAATATAAAGAATCAACAGCTCATACATATTGGATGATTTTTTTAATAGATTTCGAATGTTTCAAGTTTTGTTTAGATTTAATATTTTGAACAAAATTAAAGATAAATTCTTTACATTTTAAAAAAATAATGCAACACGCACCTATACTCTTATCTTTCATTTGTAAGTGATATTTCTCTTGTTAAAACTTTTTTTTCTCTTGAAATTAACATAATTTTTATTTTTTAAATTATGATTAAAGTTTAAATTAAAATTTTTAATTTTAAAATCGATTTCAATACAATTTTGATAAATTAACATTATTAACTCTTTATGTTTTGTTGTCACATTTTAAATTGATTATTGATTTGAAATTTTGGCATTGCCCTTTTGATCCTGTCATTGGTAAACCAAGCTCTCATTTTGTCCCAACCAAGAAAAAGAGTCAAAAGGGTATGTCTAAAGATTCTCCTTTAAGCAACACCGGTATAGATACGGTCATTTATATATTTATATAATATAAAATATTAAAATTTATATATTTATATTATATTTTATATAAAAATTATATGTGATAATTCGTATTAATATGAAAATATAAAATATTTTTTAAATTTTATTAAAATCATATATAATTATTATTAAAATTTTAAATTATATTAATTTCATATTCTATTTTCGTATTATATTATCTTATCATTATATTTTAAATTATCATGTCTACGTTAGCATAACAAATAAAATTGCTAGAAGAAAGATGAATTTTATAGAAAAATTTTCAGTAGAATTTTTTTTTTAGCTAAAAGTAGAATTTGACTTAGATAACGTATAACAATCGAATCTTTTCTCCTTTAACATTTTGTTTTTCATATATAAAATATTTGTTCATTTGTCAAATTAAACTAAAAAATTCATTATTTATTTATATTTAATCCCAGAGATTCCTTGTTCAAATCCTAATTCTCTTTTGAAAGTCAAATAGTCCTTACCCAGTCTAATTGCTCAATGGGGAGGTCTTAACTATAGAAAAAGATGTTTGAAAAAGTTTTTTTTTTTTTAATCAAAAAGCGATCTTTAAAAAATAATTATTGGCCCAAAATGAATTGCCAAATGACATTCTAACTACCCAAATTATTTCAAAGAGTTTTATAATTATAATTTTTACATATCATAAGGAAAAAAAATTATGCCAATCTTGATTGCAATTTCATTTTAGTTTTGATCTTGAGGAATTTCTCAAGCTAATTAATCATATTGAATCCAAATTTAAATTTAAAACAAACCATGAAAATGAATTTAAGAGACATAAATGGACATTAAGTTTTTTTTTTTTTTCATAAAAAGAAAAGATTCGAGAACCAGTGCTAATAAACATAGATTAAAAATAAAAAAATTATAAAATATACTGATATAAAAATTTTAAATTTCATAAACAAAATTAAAAAGATAACACATAAATCTTAAAGTATATTTAAAAATTAAAAAATTAATTAAAAATAAAAATTGAATATGTGTCAATCTCTTAAAATAAAAAATTTATCATGATAGTATATTCAATACTAATTGGAAGAGAAAATGTGTTAATTACAAATTTTTTCTTTAAATATTATTATTTTTTCATTGGAAACTGGTTAACATTTTTCAAAAACAAACAAAAATTTGATTTCAAATGCATCATTATTTTTTAATCAACTTGGAATTGTTAATTAAGCCCTATGAGTGGTTTTCTCTCCTAATTAGTTTGTTTATATGACACATGGGCAAATTATTTCTATCTATACAAAGTCGACAACTACTCCTAAGCTTTAAAGAAAAGTTATCTCATTAAATATTCTTGAATTGTCATGGTCAATTAATTAAATTAAACTTAGGATTTATATGAACCTTTGTCTGTTGTAATACCCATAATATATTATGTTATTAAATGTCCAATTTTGTCCTTAAACCATTTTTTATTTAAGGAACTGCTATTTTCATTCACATCGACACTCACGGTGTCTTCGACCAAAAAAAAAAAAAATCATAATGCATTTGTAATCTACAAAAGAGTTTTGAAGTTGATATTTAGACTTGATAATTTCATATATGATATGATTACGATACGAAAATAATTATATATATATTTTTTAATAAAACGTGTTTTTTATTTATTAATGTTGACACGAATTTTGACATAACACAATTCGTGTCATATATGTATTGACTCATCTAAATATATGACATGATACAAATAACACGTTTAATTTAATTTTGTTATACAAGTACACGTTTAATATGTTTAACATGCTTAGCACAATTTTATATTTATTTTAATTTAATATAAACATATAAAAATTATTTTAATTTTTAATCTGTTAATTATGACACTTAATTAGCTATTTAATTTCATATAAAAATTATTTTCAACATTTAATTATGATACTCATTTAATAATTATTACAAAATTAATTTTTATATTAATAATATAAATATAACATAAATATTAATGTTAGTCTTATACATTATTATTTTATTCTTTAATCTTTAATATTTATTATTTGGAATGTAATGCTAAAAAGTTAATATAGCAATGTAATATAAATTAAAATTAAAATATATATTTATATATTAAATACATATTAAATGAGTATTAAATTTTTTTTAATATGTAAACATTTTTTTATATTATTAACATGCCAAATTTATTAAGTTGTAAATAATGAATAGTTTATAGTTATTTATTATATTAATTGTATTATTGTATATATTCGTGTTGGTCGGTCTATTCATGTATTATTGTATTATTCGTGT